GAAAAGATTTTCTACTCCCATAAAAAAATTGCAGTCTGACAATTGCCGAAGACAAAACGGGTGCATACACAAATGTGGTAAAGGAGCAGATGGTGCCTGGCTATCAAAAGATATAGCATCTGGGATCTTAAAGGCTTGAAGTTAAACAAGTGGCCATCTAGCAGAGAAGCAACAAGCTTAGCGGTGTAAGTTGGGGCACATAACTTAGATTCTGAGTGTTGGTTTCCTCCTCTGAAAATGGGATCACTTATCTGTTGTGAGTGGTTGAAAAGATTAAATAATGGGATGGATGTGAAAACATCTAGCCGAACCGCTGGCACAGAACCAACACAGGTTGGTTTTAAGCTCTCCTTGCTTTCTTTCCCTCTTTTCAAACATGGCTTTACGGAGTAAGACATGCCTCTACTCTGAGTGAATGTACACTCACTAGAGATTTCTGGTTGCAGTTTAGTAAAATTCCAAGTTATCACTGACTATTTCCAGAAGTGCCAAACATACTCAAAATAAAATCAATTTCAATGTAATCTAATGGTTTCAAATAATGCATATTGGGAAAAGAGCTGTGGTAGTTATCACAAATTTGAAGATCCCTATAACCAACCAAAAGGAGAAGTGGAAATTTGACATTCAAGTAAATATCAGACAACATCTTCAAAACTAACAACCAGTTATGTTAAAGAGTAAGTACAAACACATACAGCATTTGGCTGGTGTCACACTTGCTCATGTGGCTAGGATAAATAAAGTCATAATAGTAATACCAGTGGTTAATTATATGTGAACATTTAAAATAAAAATGTCATGCAACATAAGTGACATGTTAGAAGCATAAGCATAAAGAAAATGTTGCGGGCATTTTCAAGACTCCATATATGAAACTTTGCTAATTGCAAAAGGATACAACAAATGCGTTCTTACTAATACATTATTTATTTTCAAATAGACGTAGGTTTGAGGTGAGTTTAAGGCAGTGCAAACCTTAGTTTTTCAGATTAAGAAATGGAAATCTTGAGAGTTTGAAGAGTAGGGAATAGATGTAGAATAAAAGTAAGAAAAAAGATACCGTAAGGAAGTACTCATCAATTAAGGTCAATAATTTTAACTATCTTGAGTGCAAATATTTTCTTACGAACTAGAAACAAGTATTTCTAGTTTCACTCTACGGTAGCTCTGATAGCTAACGGCCAGGCAGAAGTGGACAGTTGTTGGTTATTTAAGCACCTTTCCCATTGCCGCATCGGCAATGTCATCTGGGGCAGCTGCTATGATTGTCATGGTCAATTATAGGAGCTCGTGATCTTTATGGAAGGGCCCTGTGGTGCAGTGGTTAAGGAACTTGATGTTAACCAAAAGGCCAATTGCTCAAACCCATGCTTCTATAAAGATTACAACGTTGGAAAACGTATGGGGCAGTTCCACTCAGTCTTATGGGGTTCTTATGAATTGCTATGAACTCTACGGCAATGATTCCTGTTTGGGGGAGCAGATCGCCTAGTGTTTCTTCCCGCTAGTGGTGAGTGCTTAACTTTTGCACCACCAGGGCGTTGATCTGTACCTCTATGAGAATAAGAAAGTTTCTCTTTAATAAACTCCCTTTTTAAGTCCTGCAAAGTGAGGCTGGGCTAGAGCCAGGGCTGGGCTGAGAGAAGTGACCTGCAGGATTCCGTTCTAGTTCGCCTCTCTCTGAAAACCTGTTTGGGAGAACCCTGACAGAGCTTTGTCTACTGTGCGGGAAGATGTATTGGTTGTCTTGAATCAAACTTAAATTGTGTACGAGGAGTTTTTGCACTGCAGCTTACATGAACAGGAAATCATAACTCTGTTATTTCCTGATCCCTAGGAGTTAATGTCAGGGGCCAATGATTGAGCAAACAAGAATAAAGGCATATATATTTATAGGGTAACAACTCAGCTTCCATACGCTATCTTTATGGGTCACAGTTGAAGAGTCATCATGACTTCCCTGTGTTATCTTGTTTCCTGAAGTCAATCCATCCAAGAGGGGTAAAATAGAAACACTCATCTGTCACGAGTTTTTTGCCTCCTGTTCCCAGCCTTGGTAGCTTTGCCTTCATCTGTCTGAGACAGATAAGAGGACTATTGTACAGAGTTAGCAGAATCTAACTCCACGGCTTGGAGACAGCAAGTCAAGAACACATCCATCAGCACCCATGTCCTGTAACAGGGGTTCAAATAGCAGTAAATCTCTGAAGGGGTAGTGAATAGGAGAGGCAGAGGAGAGGATAGACATCTTAGTTTCCTGGCTTTTATTGAAAAGAAATAAAACATAACCACATAACAATAAAAACAATAGAGCAAAGAAATATAACAATATGGCAAGTTTTAGTCGTGGAGAAAACTGCTATAGGAATCAAGATATAAATCTTTGCAACCTAATGCATTCATCCTGAGCCCTCTTTAGTTGGCCAAATGCATTCACAGGGAAGCTTAAATACAAGATTGAGGATATATTATTTTGGAACAGGAGTGCATTTGGCATTCAGTGGTAGAATTCTCTCCTTTGCGAGGGAGAGCTGAGTTTGATTATTGGCCAAGGAAGCTTAGCATGAGCTTAAATTCGGTAGTGTGGAGATTTTACTTTCGAACATGAGGGCATTGGTGGTTCAGTGGTAGAACTCTCACCTTCCACAAGAAAGATCTGGGTTTGATTGTTGACCAAAGCACCACATATGTACCTAAAACCCATCTGCTAAAGAAGCCTTCTGTACTGCTATGATGGAGAACAAATTTCAACAGAGCTTTCAGATAAAGACAGACTAGGAAGAAAGGCCTGGGAATCTACTTTCCCAAAAGCCAGCCATTGAAACCCTTATGGAACACCATTCTACTTTGACATACATAAGATCTCCATGACTCGGAGTTATTAGATGGCCACGGGTCACCAGTTTGCTCTGGC